AAAGGTATCCGTCAAACACGAAATCCTTCTCCACATTATATTAATTTATGTTATCATCGTTTTTCCCCTTTGCAGTATACTTGTTTGTCTTCTTTGCTTTTTGTTTCTATTCCTAAAACTCCAGGTGAAGCATTATCTCACCCTGAGTGGAGGCAAGCAATGATTGATGAAATGTGTGCTCTTCAAAGCAGTGGTACCTGGGAACTGGTTCCTCTACCCCATGGGAAATCTTTAGTAGGTTGTCGTTGGCTTATACAGTGAAGGTTGGTCCAGATGGTAAGATAGATCGATTTAAAGCTCACTTGGTAGGCAAAGGATACACTTAAATTTTTGGGTTGGATTATAGTGATACCTTTTCGACTGTAGCCAAGATGGCATCAGTTAGACTTCTTCTAGCCATTGCAGTCATTCGACATTGGTCTCTTCATCAACTTGACATCAAAAATGCATTCTTACATGGCGATCTTGAAAAGGGAGTATATATGGAGCAACCACCTAGGTTTGTTATTCAGGGGAGTCATCGAATATGGTTTGTAGGCTACACATGTCTCTTTATGGTCTTAAGCAATCTCCGAGAGCTTGGTTTGGCAGATTCAGCACTGTAGTACAACAGCTTGGTATGATCTGTAGTGAAGCTAACCATTCTGATTTTTATCGTCACTCACCCCAAGTGTGTACTTATCTTATTGTATATGTAGATGACATTGTCATAACTGGTAGTGATCAGCAGGGAATACTCCAGTTGAAACAACATCTCTCGAAACAATTCCAGTCAAAAGATCTTGGTAAACTCCGCTGTTTCTTAGGTATTGAAGTAGCCCAATCTAAAGATGGTTTGGTGATTTCTCAACGAAAATATGCTATGGATATTTTGCAAGAAACAGGTTTGTTAAATGCTAAACCAGCTGATACTCCTATGAATCCAAGTGTTAAACTACTACCCAATCAGGGGGAGCCTCTATCTGACTCAGGAAGGTATAGGAGATTGGTTGGAAAATTGAATTATCTCACAGTCAGTCGTTCGGACCATGGTTGTCAAAATCTAGATTTAAATCGTGAGATCTTAAGATCTTACGAGTTTTCACCATGCTCCGCGGCGGAGCGCAACAAAGATCGCTGGAGAAGGCGGCGCAGTAAGAGCGCAGTGTAAGATCGTAAAAACGTGAAAGCAGAGATCTATTTCGCAGTGGAAAATTTGTCCAACCCGTTTTGACATGACCCGGTCCAATGATCCATTAAAGAAGGGGACCCGTTCAGCTTTTTCTACCAGCCGTTTCACATTAAATTAGCCGTTTTTCATCATTAAAAGTCAGAATCTGTTGCTATCTACAAGGCTGGTTTTTTTGGGGGAAATTAAAAATCAATCTGAAAAATATCAATTTATTAAATGATAACATTTATTCTTCTTCAATTTCATCTATAAATCAATCATACGATTTATTTTCAATCATCAACTTCTTTTCTTCTTTAGTTATATGATCTCTCATCATACCTTCTATTCTACCACACTTTTTTTTAGTGAAATGTATAATTTTGTATATTTTGTAGGATCTAACGATCCGATTTACGATATTACGATTCACGCTTTTTTCAAACCCCAACGATCTTTAGTGAGATCCCGATTTTGACAACCATGGTCCGGACATTTCTTTTACAGTCAGTGTGGTAAGTCAGTTCTTAAATTCCCTTTGTCAGGAACACATGGATGTTGTTATCCGGATTCTGATATACATCAAATGTGCTTCACGAAAAAGTCTTGTGTGTGAGGATAAAGGAAATACCTAGATAATTAGATACTCCGATGTTGATTGGGCAGGGTCACCCATTGATAGACGATTCACCTCTGGGTATTGTGTACTTGTTGGAGGAAACTTTATATCCTGGAAAAGTAAGAAACAAAATGTAGTTGCAAGATCAAGCGCCGAGGCAGAGTATAGGGTCATGGCAATGACAACATGTGAACTTATTTGATTAAAACAGTTGCTCAAGGAACTTCAAATTGAAGAAGCAAGACTAATAACACATATTTGTGATAATCAAGCTGCATTGCACATTGCTTCAAATCCAGTCTTCCATGAGAGGACCAAACATATTGAAATAGACTATCACTTTCTCAGAGAGAAGATCGAGTCAGGCGACATCATCACAAGTTTTATCAACACTAATGATCAATTGGCAGGATGTGTTTACAAAATCCCTACAAAGCCCCCAGAACTAACTATATATGTAACAAGCTTGGTGCATTTGACTTATATGCTCAAGTTTGAGGGGGAGTGTTGATATTTGTAAATATATATAGTGTTAAGAATATTTGTAGATAGAATAGTCTCACATCGACTATATCATGTAATTAGTTGTAATCTATCTATATATAATAATGTTTGCGTAGTATTTTTCAAAACACATGATTTATTCATATGTCTCTTCGTCTCTTGTATTTCAACATTCGTAATGCTCATGTCTTAAGACTTGTAATGCAAGATTGTAAAATTCCTATGAATAATAAAGAGACTTCTTTATTTTGCACAGCTTGTTGTATGGGCAAGGCCTATAGATAGGGTTGTTCATGGTACTGAAAAACCAAATCGAACCGAACCAAATCGTAGTAAAAGTTCACTCGAACCGAACCGTTTCAATTTACTTAGAACCAAACCAAAATTATTAGTTTGGTATACTGTTTAGAAATTTTGAACCGTAACCAAATGTTAGAAGACAATTTTCCCAAACTGAACGATTTATTAAAGAACCAAACCATTAAACTATTTATTAAATTATTTTTTTAAAAATTTTAAAACTTGTTTTTAGTATTTTTCAGTTTCAGTTTCGGTTCGGTTACCGTTTCAGTATGGTTCTAGAACTGTTTTGTGCAATATGGTTTGGTTTAGTCACCAAACATAACGGTTCGGTTATTTTAACTTCAGTTCGATTCAATTCATGGTTTTTTTGAACAGCCTTACCCATAGATTGTATTCTCCTGCCTCACACACCACATACGCTCACCCCTTGGAACTTATATATAAGGTTTTAACTATTATATCTCATTTGTAGATGCCTTTTCCTAGTTCACTTGGATTTATCTTATTAAATATTTAAGTCTGATTCTCTCACTATTTTTAAATAGTTCAAAACCATAGTTGAACTTCAACTTGGTCATTCTATCAAAGTCATTCAAATTAATTGGGGGTAAGTTTAGGCCATTTACCAAGTTCTTAAATGAGCTAGGTATTATCCATAAGCTCATCTATCCTCACACCCATCATCAAAATGAGGTTGTTGAGAGAAAATAAAGGTATATAGTTGAGCTTGGCCTCACTCTCCTTAGTCATGCACCCCTAACTTTAACCTATTAGGATTATACCTTTTTAGCTACTGTATATCTCATTAGTAGAGTGTCATCTGCCTCTATTAATTTTCAGGTTCCTTATTCTTTTTTGTTCAAACAAAAACCTGACTATAAATTTCTAAAAGTGTTTGGTTGTACTTGTTTTCCTCTATTAAGACCTCATAATGCTCATAAACTGGATTTTAGATCTCGAGAGTGTTTGTTTCTAGGGTACTCACCCTCACACAAAGGATATAGGTGCTTGTCATCTAGTGGAAGACTTTATATCTCAAAAGATGTCATATTCAATGAGTCAAGGTTTCCTTATAATGATCTATTCCTCAAGTCAACCCCTGTTCAACCTCTTAAATCAAGTGTCACTCTATCACCTTTCTCATTTAGTCCCTCATCTTCAACTGTCCTAACTAGTCCTGACACTTCACCTTCTCAGTCACAAGGCCCTCAGTCCACTACTTCGCCAAATTCAGAAAGTGTCTCAAACTCCAGTCATAAGTCATCTGTATCTCCCACACCTTCTTCTCCAATGAGTAACTCTGACCCTGCTCCCAGCCTATCAACCTCAATAAATGAACCCTTATCCAATTCCTCAACCTCTCGAGTCTCCTCTCAATCTAGTGAAATTGAGACAACTCATTTACTTGCCCCTCCTCTTTCTATACCACCTAAAGATATTCATGTTCAACACAAGCCAATCAACTCTGACAATATGCAAACTAGGGCCAAGTCAAGCTTCACTCAACCAAGACTTGAGCCTAGACTATTGTTACTTGACTCTAAACCTAAAATTATTAAGCAGGCTCTATATGATCATCATTGGAAGTCAGTTATGCAAGTTGAGTATAATGCTTTCATTCAGAATAATATCAGGACCCTTGTACCATTGCCCTCTCATAGACAGTCCATTAGTTGCAAATGGGTATTTAGGGTCAAAGAAAACCCTGATGGTTCTATCAGCAGGTACAAGGCCAGGTTGGTTGCTAAAGGCTATCACCAGAGGCATGGATTTTGATTTTACTGAAACCTTCCCCCTGGTTATTAAACCTATTACCATTAGGTTATTCTCACTATTACAATTACTCAGAAGTGGTTTATCCAACAGCTTGATGTTAACAACGCTTTGCTAAATGGCTGCCTTGATGAGGAAATCTATGTGCAGCAACCTCAAGGGTTTGAAAGTCCTGATTCCTCACTTGTGTGCAAACTTAACAAAGCTTTCTAGGGCCTCAAGCCGGCCCCCAGGAAGTGGTTTAAAAGGCTTCAATCTGCCTTGGAGAAACTTCAGTTCAAAGTTGGCAAGTGTGATCCTTCACTCTTCACATATTTCTCCAATGGTCACACAATCTATCTACTTGTGATGTAGATGACATTATACTTACAGGGAGCTCTACTTCACTCCTTCAAGACATCATAGCCAAGCTCAACATGGCTTTCATTTAGAACTGATAACACCTGTGCAACCTGTAGGCTGGTCACACAATTTCTCTCTCTTATAACCAACTTTCATAAATGGAAAATCAGTTACAACAGAAAATGATTACTCTCTCTACAGTTTCTATTAGAAACTAATATTAAGAGATACTACGAAAAGACATTAATCTTAGGAGATAATTCAAGATATTAAAGATCTTTTTCATATATTTTAACAAAGAATTCCAAATCAAAATGAATTAGGTATGCTCAATGCCTTAAAGAAAGTGAAAAGGAGAAAGAAAACCTTTTCAATAAGGTCCAAAACATCTTGGTTGTCCTCAAATTCAATGTAGCTCCAATTGATCTGCTCCTTTGTATATTCTTCTTGTTCCATTTTGAACATGTGCTGAAATTCGTCATCAAAAAACAGATTAGATATGGAAATGAAAAGAATGAACTTGAATTGCATAATTTAGTCTGAAACTCTGCCTGATTGAAGTGTTGCTGCAACTTTTCATTTGTGAAATTAATGCAGAACTGCTCAAAACTGCAGAGCATGACAAACTGAAAATAAGTTACAAAACAATGAACTTTTACAGATTGTATTTCAGTAATGCAATCTTGTGGATGTACTTTTACAGATTGTATTTATACTTCTAAAATATAATAGTACCTGTTCAATTTAAAGCTTTCAAAACCATAGATATCAAGGACTCCGATCAAACATTTAGAATTGGGATCTTGTCCAATTGATTCATTGATCTTGTCCACCAGCCTACAGCACACACAAATGCAGCATGAATCAAAATCAGAACCCTGTATCCTTATCTTCAGTACTTTTTGTACTAATTAGATAATATAGAGGTTTAAAGAAATCTGCCAGTTTCCATTTCCAATATCCTACCAATCAAATAGCCGAGAATAAATTGTTTTTGCCAGTCCATCTCTACTGACTGTAGCACTTCCCGGATCAAGGCTCCGCTTTATAACTTCTTCTGGAGTGATCATGACACGCTTACATAATGCATCTTCCAAGGCATCAGCATCACACCTGATTCAATGTTAACAATCATATTGAAAGGCGGTTGAATATCATATGGACAGAAGTAATAATATGAAAGCCTCCATGCCTCAAAAGTTCAGCAGCTGTTTTCAAGTGGAATTTGGCTTTGTCGTCTTTTGGAGTAGATGAGTCAATTTCCTTTCCTTTGCCAAAATCAATATTACCCAGATGAAGAATTGCAGCAACAACTCTGAAAATGGCTTCCTGAAAAAGACAGCACAGGAAAAGAAAAAAATTAAAAAAGCAATCATTCTATATTCTCGCAAGAACAAAGCTAAATTCATGCGTGTGAAAGAAATACCTGATCTTTTTGACTTATTCCAACAATGCCCATAGCTCTACATGTGGCAAGATACTCATGAGCATCATTTACATCAGCCAGTTCATAGCATTGTGACTGATTAAGATAGTGAAACAATTTCGGATTTCCTAATTTGTATTTTTCAATTTCCTGTTAGCAAAACTTACGATGAGTTTACATTATTGAATGAATCAACAAGTATATTGTAGACGGAGAGCTACCTCCTGTGGTGCGGCGCAAAGAAGATAAAAGCAGTGGTAGTTTCGTTCAGGATCATTAACTTGACAGACCCGAGATCTCTCTAGAAGGTATGTTCGGATGGCTGCTCCTGAGATTCTTCCACTCTTGTCAAATTGGATCTCAACAAATTTACCAAAACGACTGCATCATTAAGAACTTAGGTGATAACTTAGACACAAATAGCATGTATCCATTTATGATGGCAAAAACATTTCCTTTTCTTGAAAGACAATATGATAAAACTATTCAAAAGTCATCATACTAACTGTCCATACTAACATCAAACTGCCTTTTGGAAATATGAATGGAGTGAAATGAAACAAACTGAAGACCAAGTTAATTTATAATATCAGACTATCAGGAAATCCTTTATCATCCATTTATCAAAAGGACAGACAAAAAAGTTAGGTTATATGTACCAGACAATCACAAACTAAAACTGATGGAATCCTTATTGCCCAGATATAAGAAAGTCTCACCTAGAATTGTTATTCCTGACAGTTTTAGCATTGCCAAATGCTTCCAGAACTGGATTTGACTGCATTAAAATTTAAAATTCTTTATAAATTATACCCAAAGTAAAGAAAATGTTATTTATAAAAAGAAAACAAGAATAGATATTTTGTTATGAGTTAGTTCAATTATGAGTGTCATTATTTGAATCATACTTCAAGAACTTGTTGCTCAACTGTTCTGCCTTCAGTTACAGCTCTACCACCTAAGAAAGCCAGGAATTGCATAAGCAGTTTTGTAGTTTCCGTTTTACCAGCTCCACTTTCCCCACTGACCAGAATGGAATTGCTTTTCCCTTCATTAACCATTGCCCTGATATTAATATATTCATCAATTAAATTTTGCTTCAATGGTAGAAATGAGATTTGAATCATAATAAAAAAGTTCTAAGATTACCTATATGCAACACCAGCAATTGCAAATACATGAGGGCTTAATTCTCCAAGTGGCACTCCCTTGTATTGTTGCATCATTTGTGCACAATAAATATGAGGCAGTTTTTGAAATGGATTTATTGCAATCAAAACATTTCCTGTATAAGTCTGCCATAGGAATTAAGAATATAGGTAACAACGCCTTATTGATAAACTCCTGGATCTTATCACGTCAAAGGGAAGAAGCCTTACATATATTTTATTCAACTCATATCTAGCCTTTAAGTTCTGCAGGACTCCAGGCTCATGCAAATAGGACAGTTTAGTCATATCATCCACTCCACCAGGAAGAGCTTCCATATCCTTGGGAAATATTTTAGATAAATTTGCAACAACCTTGAAATAGAAAAAATAGTAGTACATGTTATAGAATTCAGATGTAATATTTGTCTTGACAAATTAGTGTAATACTTTTCACCTTTACCAGTCAGCAATACAAGCATGAGAAAGAACTAGTACTACACCAAGCAATTGAGAAATAATTATATTTCCCTATTGTAGATTTCAGCTAGTAAAGAAAAAGCAGGAATATACAAGACATAGATAAAGTGGCAAATATAGTTTAATCAATTTTTCCGTAGAGAATAGTGAGTCTCTGAATACTGAGGTGGGAAGGTCAACAGTGAAAGAAATAAAGAATGTTGGCTTGTGCATCTCTTCCCTAGTCCCTTTTGGGTGTTTCTTTTCCTCTTATTTACTCTTTCCATGATAAACTTGAAACTCAGATAATGTTGACTTGCATTGTCTTTTTTACTTGGCTGTGGAAGCATTTATTAAGTATAAATCTAGGTTGGCCACAAGGAAGATATGGGGTCTAATTAATTTTGTTTTTTAGAAATAAATTATATAGACAAAAAAAAACCATTGTTTCAAGATGAAGAAAAGGGAAGGGGCCCAAGGCTCCCTTCAGTAGCATTTTTCCCTTCCTAAAGGAGAGTTAAATCGTTCACACCAATATTAGTCTATCTTTCTTTTGTACCAAGTGTTGTCATACAATATGCCTATTTGAAATATTTAGCCAGTCAGTGCAGCATGAATTGACTGCAGAATGCAAGCCTCATTTAACAAGATTATCATTGACTAAAATCTACAGTAAGCCTGCAAATGTTTCTTAAATAAATCGGTCCTCAAAAAGGCGGGAATATAAACAGGAACCATGTTACTGGCAACCTACAAACCTTTTTTCCATCAGAAGTTTCAATTTCAGCATCCTTTCCATTGATTTTTAATACATGTCCGTCAATCCAAGCTACCTCTGGGTCTTCAATCCAGACATGAGAACCCACGATAATATTCTCTGGAGTCCCCTGCAGATGGAGATGAAGAATCATTTTTTCCCATTACAATTTGTTTTAAGTTCTCACTTAAGTTCAAGATATTGATTTTTACACCACTTTGTCAGCAAGAAAAGCTAACAAAAAGTTTAGACATGTTTATCACATGTTGAGCATCGTGAAAGCTTAATAACTTCCAAACTAAAGTAAAATATGTACAAAACATGCCTTGTGTTGTCTGCTTTCTGATTAGAAAGGGCCCTTATACTGAAGTCAAAACAAAAAATATGAGAATCTTATACCACAGTTCCTACAAACAGTGTAGCCTAATAATAACCAACTGGAAACTACATTGATAGAAAAGTCAGTTCTATCACAATTTACCAGCAGTGTGATGAGATACTTATTTCCCAATCCATCCTTTACTGCATATTATTCGGAGATAATTTGAGTTTTTCAATCTTGAAAAGCCCACGAAAATCTATGTGCTACCACAACAAATCAGAATGCTAATCAAAAGTGGAAGTTTGAGTTCAAATAAAAACCACCACGGGTCACAATTCGGAATCTTGAAGTCAATATTATTTAGAATCATAATGTCCCAACCAGGAATTTAAAAAATGGACCGAGACTGCAAAAACGGCTGCGACAAAACGGTATCGGCATATTGAATACCGTTATCACCGTTTTTATGTTAACAAATTGTGGTTAATTCACACCACAACGTTTTTATCTAAAGAAATTGTGGTTAATTCACACCACGACAACCGCAGTACCGCAACATCTGTACCGACCGAAATTGTGAAAGCCTTTACGTAACTGCGACGCTACCATTTTTTAAAACCCTCCCAACTAAATCAATATCTCTTCTACCTATCACTACATGAGTAGGGCAAATTTGATCGAATGCAACGTTTTGCGGATTACACACAATTACTTTGAACTCCCAAAACTGTTTCTTCTTCCTCTTTTAAAATTCCAAACAATGCACATTGATCATGGAGGACTAGCATTACAAAGAATCAAATAAATCTAAAGTTACAACAAGCTCGTAAATGGTAGATCATCTCCTAATTAACACCTTAAGAAGATGATTCATAGTTCGATTTGATCATTGACATAATTAATTTGAATGAAAGAAAGCGAAAGGAAAATGCATTGAAATTGGAAATTAGGGTACGGTACCATTGTAGAGGTCTAAGTTGGAAGGTTCATGAATTGAAGAATGGACTAGTTAGGGATTTGATCGGTAAACGCTATTTTTGATGAAATTTTTTAGAGAAATGAAAGTGAATGTGAATGGAGGTGCAGTGGCTCCGTGACGTTAAGGGACATTCTTCAACTTCGGGACATTCTTCTTCTTCCCTTTGCTTTCGCGCCATCTCGTGGCTACTATTAACCCAATTTCTCACCTTTTTTTTTAATGAATTATTTCGCACTCTTCTATTATGAATAAATACTTAGTTCTTAAATTATTCATTTTTCATTAATTTGTTACTTAAATTAAAATCCAGTTTTTATTCTCATATACTATATAATTAGATGAATAAGTAGTTTAAAAATTATTTTTAATTATTAAACACTAAGGTTAATATCATTTTTAAATGATTAAGCATAGTAAAAATGAGTAGAATGAAATGAAGATTTGATTTTACTTTTGGATATTTTATATAAAAATTCAAATTTGAGAAGAAATATAATAGTAAGTAATTGGTAAAATGGAATTGATTCCGAGTCATTCAATTTTAATTGAACTAAATAATGAAATCTCATTTTAGATTATTTTTGAGAATTTTTTCCTACCTTTAAAGGTTTTCTAAAAAAAATGTCCTTTATTTTTTAGAAATGCATCTCTATTTTTTTGAAAATGCATCGTTTTTTCACAAAATAAGGTGGATGGAAAAGCGTACCTCATTTTACTAAAATTAAATTTAGAGATGCATCTCCGAATGCAATTAATTAATATATAATGCGTGTGAGACCCTTCCTCTTCTCTTTCTTTTTTTTTTGAAATTTTTGAGATACTCTGTTAGAGCTCGTGAGCAATATCCTTACAGTTCATATTTCAAAGATCGGTATTACCACTACTTCAAATTTTTCAATCCTAACTCACTTCACTTACTACATTCAACATTTTTCATCCTCATTAACATTTTTTTATGGTAATTTCCATAGCCACTATTATTTTAAAAGCACTATTTATACTTTACCACACGTTAATTTCCATACACGAGTTTGATCGTGTGGTAAAGTATACTAAGGATTGGCCACGTGATTGTAAGTAATGTCTGCCAGAGGGTATTATGTTGTGCGGTCATTCTGTGTGTATATTGATCGGACTCAGCATGATGACATTGACTGGACACCATACACCACTCACTGGAACATTGTTGCCTTTGACCCCGTTTTATTTTACTCCTGATGGCTGGCATGTGGGAGAAATATGATGTGCATGTATGTGTCAAAGTGATGCATGTGTTAGTTTGAATATGTGCAGATCATTCAGAAATTCTCCTTTGAGTCTGATTCTAACAACATCGTCCGTAAACTCTTGATGACATACTGGCAGATTATTGTAGTCATTTATAGTGTGTCACACCTTGTCATGACACCAGACGCTTCAAGACGTCCACTCAGACCTGCTCATGAGGAGATCCTTGAGAACGAGCATACCAGAGATGACCATGCCATTAATGTGTTTTCGATCTGTCAAAATAGTATGTGAAATACGTATAAGGGCATATATCTAGGTTGTTTGAGATAGGTGGTGATGATATGGATGCCCTCGCACGTGCCATGTTTACCAAGTCAGATAATGCCTTGGGTCACCGGTGGCAAAAGAGAAGTCATGGGTTAGGATGAGGCACGCGCAGTAGGTTATGTTTTTTTTTTTTGTATTTTGGAATATTTTAGTTTTACTTTTCATACTTTGAAAACAATATTTGTAATATCATGAGATGTTTCTTTTTTAATTAATGTATTACTTTGTTCTATGATCGTCGTGTTTGTTAATGTTTGAATCAAATTATGACACTGTTAGTCAAATTAAAATAACTTTAGATTCAAAAAAAATACTAACTTAAAACAATGTTATTGTTCAAGATACATGTAGGTGAGATTTGAAGATGTATATCCGAAATAAAATTGTGTAAATAGCTTAAAATGTACTTTCTAAAATGCGTTTTCGAATAAATCTCATAAAAATTTCACATATACATCTCGAAACTAATGTTTTGCAAAATAAAATAGCGGTTTAATTTACAAAGGTAAATTGATTAAAAGTTCGTCCTAATATATATTCCGTATATTCAAAACACTTGAAAGCATTTTTAAAATTGCGAGATAGATACCCATAAAGATGAAAAAATTCTCTAAATTCTATTTCATTCCATCATATTTAATTAAAATTCAAATATTTCTTTAAAGTAAGATAAGACAATCTTTCATTAAAACCTAACAATTTGAATCTAGTTTATTTAATTCCATCATATTTAATTAAAATTTAAATATTTCTTTAAAGTAAGATAAGAAATAAAATCTAACAATTTGAATCTAGTCTATAGGTAGATTTTTTAATACATGTGTTTCACTTAAAATTTCTTTTTTTTTTAATTTTTTAGAGAAAAAAAATTACCGATTTATATTAAAATTTGTCCGAACAATAGAGAGACAATTTGAGAGAGATAATTTTAAAGATTAATAAATAAAAGAATTTGTAATAAATAACCCATAAAAAGATATTTAAAGTTTTTTTATAAGTCGTTTTTAAAGATATTGAAGAAGACTTTTAATACAAAATCTCATATTTTTTATTATTAAAAAATAAAAAAAAAGATCCATACACATATTTTAGACTAATTTACAATTAAATAGAACTCTTTAATAAAATTTCACAGACAAGATTAGTAGGAGAAAACTATTTGTCATTTGTGTAAAATGTATTCACATATTATTTTCATTAAAAAATAATTGAATATTTAGCCATATTAATTTTTTTTACTAACACAACTCAACTCTATTTATTTTATATTTTTTGCAATTAATTAATAAATTATATATATAGAACATACTAAAATAATAACAGCAATAATAATAAAATAAATAATTGAGTAAAAAAAAGTAAAAATAAATTAGGACCATGAATGTAAGATCAATAATTAATGAATTTAATGACATGCTGCAAAATAGTTTCACACTTTTTTCTGATAAAAAATCATGAGATTTTCAGCATAAAATTACTTTACACTTATATCACTTATTTTCTTAATTAATGCAGTTAAAATGTTGTAATGTTTGTTTTAGTAAGGATGAAAAATAATATATTTGTCTCTTATATCTAGTACATGACATGAGTGAGAGTATCATCGATTAAGAAAAGGGAATAAACATGTTTTATAAGAAATTGAAAAGGAAACAAAAAGGGAAATTGAAATGGACCACAAAACCCCTTAAACAAAAATCAAATAATTATATTAGGGACCACTATTAAACAAACATGAAACAAAACATGGACCACTATAAACACTAAAGATCAAATATAAATAATCTACTCTAATAAAACCAAGAACCACAATTAATCATATTAAACAATTTGTATACAAACAACACAAAACAAATAAAATTCTTAGACAAAGCATACATCGTAAATTGAAGCCTAAATCATACAACACATGTCACGAGACAGATGAACATGCATGCATAGAAAATAGAACACCAAATCAAAACTCAAATTGAACTTGAAACCAAGACCACAACATAGTAGTACAAAATTGGAGATGGTAAAGTACTGAACAGTGAACATCAAAAAACAGAAAGAGGGGAAGAAAAATTGTTAACCTTTACACAAGAAAACAGAACATGCATAAAGTTACTAGTACTAGTACACAAACATACATAGGCAATGTTTTGAAACATTGTCTTTTAATTAAAAACATAAAACAAACTAAACATAACATCTTAATTAACTCTAACAACCAAGTTTATGCTTCCTTCCCCTACTTAATCTTCATTAACTGCCCAATAATCCTCCTAACTAAAAGGCATTTACCTAATTAATC